CCCACCACCTCCCCACTGAGCCAGCCGAAGCATGCCTCCCCATCGAGCCGGCTGAAGCACGTCCCCACCGAGCTGGCCGAAGCACCTCCCCACCACCTCCCCACCGAGCCGGCCGAAGGACCTCCCCACCACCTCCCTGCCGAGACGGCCAAAACAGCTCCCCACCAATCCGGCCGAACCACCTCCCCACCGAGAAGGCCAAAGCACCTCCCCACCGAGACGGCCAAAGCACCTCCCCACCGAGCCGTCCGAAGCACCTCCCGACCACCTCCCCACAGAGTCGGCACCTCCCCACCATCTCCCCATCGAGCCGGTCGAAGCACCTACACACCACCTCCCCACCAAGCTGGCCCCTACCCACAACCTCTTCACCGACCCAGTCGAAGCACCTCCCCACCGACCCGGCCAAAGCACCTACCCACCACCTCCCAACGGAGCCGACTGACGCACCCACCCACCACCTCCCCACCGAGCCTTCGGAAGCACCTACCCACCAACTCCCCACCATGCAGGCCGAAGCACCTACCCACCACCTCCCCACCGAGCTGGCCGAAGCACCTACCCGCCACCTCCGCACCCAGACGACCGAAGCACCTCCGCACCACCTCCCCACTGAGCCGGCCCCACTAACTCGGTCGACGCACCTCCCCACCGAGCAGGGGAGCCGGCCCAAGCACTCCCCCACCACCTCCCCACCTGCCGGCCGAAGCACCTCCCCACCACCTGCCCACCAAGCCGGCCAAAGCACCTCCCCACCACCTCCCCACCGCGCCGGCCGAAGCACCTACCCACCACCTCCCCACCGAGCCTTCCGAGGTACTACCCACCACCTCCCCACCCAGCCAGCCGAAGCACCTAACCACCACATCCCCACCGAGCCCGGCGAAGCACCTACCCACAACCACCCCACCGAGCCGGCCGAAGCACCTAGCCACCACTTCCCCACCGGGCCGGCCCAAGCACCTCGCCACCACCTCCCCAACGAGCCGGCTGAAGCACCTCCCCACCACCTCGCCACCGAGCCGGCCGAAGCACCTCCTCACCACCTCCCCACCGAGCCGGCCGAAGCACCTC